GATCTGTTCTCTAGAGATACCTGGTCTTATTGGCTGTCCCAAAATAAAATCGACCAAGGTCAGTAAATATGGCGGATAAATTTAAGTTGTGATGTTAACATAAAAATAACCGATATATGGATTGTTCTGCATATGTTTAGATTGATTTATGTTTTGTCTAACTACATTTTTGGAGTTCAGGTAAGAAATGTTAATTAAATAGCCATTTACTAATAGTTTAAGCCGAAATCCCTGCGGGGGCGAATCACTCCCGTAGTTGCACCGTTACGGATTTCCTATGGAGTTGTAGCCCTCTTCCTAAAAAAGGAGAGGGCTACATTATTGCAGCTAGGAGTGCCTAGTGTGGGTTTAATTTAAGTTTGAATCTCGTCACTGATATATGCTCGTATAGTGACGCCTCTATACGAGTGAAAAAAAATCTCAAAAGAGACGTTAAGCAATTAACATTCAACCAATCCCGTCTGATTCCATCTAGTGGGCATCTACATGTATATGAAGACTGCAAGCTCCAGTTTTAACAAGTGTTAAGCTGGTTGAGGTTTGTAAACAACACAATGTGTGGATGTGTTGTAAATAAAACAACAATATGTTTAATATATGATGTAACATATAACAAAGTTAACTACATGTAGATATGACAAGACAAAATTTATTAAGATACAATTAATCACAAATGTTCAAGTACACAATATTTGTGAAATTATGGCAAAATACTTTATATGTACACCTGTTACAGAGAACTAGAAAAATTAATTTAATTTTTGAAGTAAAAACGATTGAAATTTGAATGACATTGATTTTATTTTAGAAAGAAAAGGTTCAATTAAAGAATAGCAAAAATGATGACCATAAAACAACATTAAATACTGAGGATCGAAGAATGTAAAATTTCCCATTAACAACACTTTAACAAATTTTGTTGCTTATATACAGTATATACAAAGCCAAGGGACTAAACAAGTACTAGTAGATAAAAAGACACAAAAAGCACCTAGAATGGTAAACATGCTGTGGCATAGAAACATTTGATATGAAAATGTAGTGGTAACATTTTCTTTTCCCTCTCTGAAACCAGTCAGAGAATACCCAGAAATGAACTCTTCCATGGTGATTTAAACATTCTACCTGGATAACTGATTTAACATCCTGATAAACAACGTATCTTACAATATCCTTTCACTGACAAGTGCTCTTCTGTTCCTTTTTAAAAATGATTCAGACAATATTTTTTATGAAAATTAGGTCAAACATGAAGCTCAAAGTTTGGAAGTCAGCAATCATAGCTTGCACGGAAATATCTTGTCACAGGTAATACACATGTCAAATATGAAAGCCCTATCTCTTCTCTATCAGACGTTATCAGGAATTAATAAAATTTCTGAAATGTAGGTCAAACGCAAAGGTCAAGGTTACGGGATCAAAAATCATAGTGTATTTAGAAAGGTCTTGCCACTGGTAATATACATGTACATGTAAAAGGTAAAAACCCCGAATCTTCTCTTCCAAAAGTTATGACCGACGATAAAATTTTTGCAAAATAGGTCATACTTCAAAGTCAAGGTCACGGGATCTAAAATCAAAGTGCATATAGAAAGGTCTTGTCACAGGTAATGCACATGTTTAGTATGAAAGCTCTATCTCTTCTCATTCAAAAGTTTTAGCCAATTTAAAGTAATGTGAACCTTTTTGAAAAGTAGGTCAAACTCCAAGGTCATTGGGTTAAAAAAAATTATAGTGTCTTTAGAAAGGTCTTATCACAGGTCATACATATATATATATATATATATATATATATATATATATATATATATATATATATATATATATATATATATATATATATATATATATATATATATATATATATATATATATATATATATATATATATATATATATATATATATATATATATATATATATATATATATATATATATAATATGAAAGTCCTATTTCCTCTCATTCAAAAGATATGACCAAGGATAATTTTTTTGCGACAGACGAACAGAACTTCAGACTGACAAGTGAATGAGGTTTAATGTCCCCTCGCTTTCGCGAAAGCGGGGAACAAAAAAATTTACCTACCTTCTCACTAGGCATTTGCAAATTTATTTCATTAAAAACATACTTATTGTACACACAAGTACTCTATAGTTGATAAAAAGATGCTTGCGTTTCTGATGGACAATATCTATGTAGTGTTTGGAGACCAGGTCCCAAGGGTACCGATTGTGCCCCGTTATTAGCAACTTACTGTTGTATTCACTTGAAGAAGAATGCATTCAAAATCTTATGTATGTGAAAAAGAAAGCACTTGCTGTGTACTTTAAGTATCGGTAGACATTCAGATATATCGACTACCTATTATCACTAAACTAAAGTTGTCGACACGATATATTCCAGTGAGCTTGAAATAAAAGATACCACGGAGTATGACATTTGTTTCAGACTTGGATATTTTACCAGAAAAAAAGACGTTAATATTATTCTAACAACAACGCTTTATGATAAACTTGATAATTTTAACTTTTTTAACTCCTCTTACTTTAACAGCAATATACCCTTATCACCTGCATATGGGTTTTATATCTCCCAGTTGATTCGATACGCAAAAGCATGCTCTACGAATTAACAATTTTTAAAACAAGGTAAGTTATTGACAAACAAGTTGATGAAACAACAATATCAACAGTCTAGTTTTAATTCATCATTTCGAAAATTTTATGGTCGATACAATGGACTTACCATCGAATATAATCTATCATTGCTTACTGGCGATTATTTTTTATAATTGTCAGGCTATTATTTTAACACTGAATGGACGACGGATTTTTCCGTTATTTATTTTATCCATCACAAGTTTCCTACCAATCAATTAAACTTTCTAGTACTGAAAAAAAAATTATCTGGAGTAAATGAGACATTCTAGGGCCTACATTAAGAATGTACTTATAACATCAACATGTGTGAGCTTTTTAATCTTAGGTGTAACTTGCAGCCCTAAGTGTACCTTTTAATTCCTTTACAGTACAATCGATATGTATGGTGAAGAAGTCTCCATGCTCTATGTACGATAAAAGTCAAGGTCATATTGATAGCGAGCGCAGCGAGCGTCGCGAAGCGAGCTCAATAGACTAACGTGTAAGAACAGAGGAAATACGGAATGAAATCTGTACATACGTCAAGCAAATTTTCTTGTGAAACATTCCCAGAATTTCTTCACTACCTAATGTCCTTTGCGCGAAAAAAAAATAATAACGTAAAGCATAAAAGGCTTTCAGTTTGTAGAAATCTTTCAAAGAAACAAAAAATTACTCTGCAGTGGTTTTTTCGACCGAAATTGCACTAGCTCTATAGTTTCAACCAGACGCTCGGTTGTCTCCGTAAGCTCCGACGAGCTCCGTGACGTCGTGTGACGTCACAGCTAATCGAGATGTCTCGTGCGGCTTGATGTTAAAAGTTTGAAGTGGCTGATCAATTTTTCAAGTGTTTTTGATGGTACAACTGCGCTCGCCCCAACGGTCACAGCGTAAAACATATTATGTCAAATATAATGCTACATGTATCATCTGACGATTCTATGAATACCTTAACACTTTTTTGATTTTGATTCCCCAAATATTTGAAATCCATGGTTAAATACTACTCATTTTGATACATTTTTATTTTTGTTCCATTTCATTTATCCTATTGATATCTTATAAAAAAATTGAACAATACATTTTCCTCTAAAAGAACTTAAAGTGTAGCATATATATATATATATCCGTGAATTTGCAATACCCGAGCATTATGTTCTATTTATAGACCAATGAGAACTCAAATATACTTTTACAGTGTATCAACATATTTTACAAATTTATACTAACGCATAGGGCCACCTTAATAAATGGTATCACACGCATTTGTAATAATATGTATATTATAATGTATATTCTTTATGTACATTATACTAGTATATTTTAAAAGTTAGCTCAACATAAGATGAATAATGGTTGTATAAGTTAAGAGACCCGGTAAGTGCTTCTCTCAAGATTATGATTTTCTTGCATACTTACAGCTCATACCCAGTGGCATTCCAAATCCCCAAAAAAGGAAAATGCCCTGACCTGCACTGAAGATTATATGCAAGACTGAAAATAACTGAAGATCGGTAAACTGAGCAAGGAAACCAAAGACCCATGATATACCAGTCAGGGTAGATAACCGAAAGTATGCCCCAATTCTGTTCTGATCCCTAGATTTCCTCATGTCTCCCTTCCTATGGATTCGATTGACCGTCACGACAAACATAAAAGTATTGATACAAACAGACACACCAACAGGTAGAGCAAAGGTATAAAGTATCATATTGGATTCGGCTATATAACAGGTGCGAGAGGAATACCCTATATTTTGACCGTCACTTAAGGTATAGCTTAAAGTGACATTAACGCCGATCAGAAGGAGACAAAGAAGAGAGTTGATGAGCAGAAAACAAAGCACATTGGATTTTCCTTTTAATGAAGGTACTGTGATTTTGGTAAAAGTCTGAAAGACTTGAAAAGAGGACAAACTCATCCAAAAGACTACAAACAACCATGAAAAATGTATTACTATACCAGCAGCCATACACAGAAGTTTGGTCTGTAGGAAAAAGTTTGAGAAAGTGTAAATAGTATTTGCAATAATCAAGAAGAGTGACAGAATGACAATATTAGCCCCGGCAGAATTTATAGGATCTTTCTGTGTGAGATAGGATATGATGGTTAAGAGTGATCCACAAGAGGACAAGGAAAGACAAACGACGGAGAGATAGATATTCAGCTCATTATCTGAGATCTTTTGTTGTGTGATCATTCGATTTGTAGCTCGATTATACCAGTCGAGGCACACCTCGAAGTGTTGATTGTTGTAATCTTTCTTAAAGAAACGGGATGGAATGCAGTGATTAAAGTCTAAAAGACACAAGGAATGATTGACCAGTACTATTTTGGTATCTTCCGTAGATATCTTTACTTTCGGGCAACGGTACCAATCGGCCACAACTATTGTAGATGAAACTTCTGTACAAAGAAATGAACTTTGAAGTTCTAAACTAGATGATGGAATTATTTCTGCGAGAGTCATGGGATTAAGATACTTGCGACAAGGAGAAAATTCAAAATGTCCATTATTCTGACTCAAATGAAACCTTTGTCCTAGTATAGAACTGGAAATATTCACGTCATAACCATGTAGATTAGCATCATCTTTCTCAAAGATACGTATTAGTTTTTCGATCATGTTATCAATGTCATGTTTTTTGTTGATGGCAAATCCTATGAGAGCTCCAAAATACCATTCATTGTTATCGTCCAGTTCAAAGATCCTTATCACACACAAGTACTCGCTAAAGTTATTCTGTGTCACTTTTTTCTTTAAAATATTCATTAGATACGGTGTTAAGTTATCAACGGCCTCTTTATCAACTTGACGTGAGAATTTGAATATCATGCTCAGCTCGTAGATGTTTTCTCCCCACTCGAAGAACTTAGGACGGCAATCCACAGGGTTCTGGTCTAAGACATATTCTTTTTCACAGGTTAGATCTAGACATTTCCCCTGAAATATTAATGAAAGGTTCTGTATTCACATTCCTGCATTTGTTGCAGTAAATGTATATACTGGAGTATGTCAATCTACTGCAGTAAGTATCACATTCATTTTTATTTGTTAATAAAACATTTCAAGATAAACAAGAGGCCCAGGGGCCACAGCGCTCACCTGAGCACATCGGCTGGGAAAAAGCACTTATCAAATCAGACCTGAAAGTTTACTGAGGTAAAGGAGGGGGCTTGAATTTTAACCCCCAGGGGGTCATAATTTGAACAAACTAGAATCTACACTACCTGAGGATGATTCCATATAAATATCACTAATCATGGCTTTGAAGTACTTGAAAAGAAGATTTTAAAAGATTTCCCTATATATTCCTATGTAAAAATTTGATCGGCCATTTTGGCCCAACCCTAGCCCTGGGGGTCATGATTTGAACAAACTTGAATCTACACTACCTGAGGATAATTTCACATGAGTTTCATCTTTCCTGTCTCAATTGTTCTTGAGAAGAAGATTTTTAAAGATTTTTCCTATATTTTCCTATGTAAAACTTTGGTCGGCCATTTTTGCCCAACCCTAGCCCTGGGGGTCATGATTTAAACAAACTTGAATCTACACTACCTCAGGATGATACCACATGAGTTTCATCTTTCCTGGCCCAGTGGTTCTTGAGAAGAAGATTTTTAAATATTTTTCCTATATATTCCTATGTAAAACTTTGATCCGCCATTTTGGCCCCACCCTACCCCGGGGGGTCATGATTTGAACAAACTTGAATCTACACTACCTGAGGATGATACCACATGAGTTTCAACTTTCCTGGCCCAGTGGTTCTTGAGAAGAAGATTTTTAATACATACCATCAAATTTTCAATATTTCTGAATTATCTCCCCTTGAATAAGGGTGTGGCCCTTCAATTGAACAAACTTGAATCCCCTTAACCTAAGGATACTTTGTCTTAAGTTTGGTTGAAATTGACATAGTTGTTCTTGAGAAGAAGTCGAAAATGTGAAAAGTTAACGACAACGACGACAACGACGACGACAGACGACGGACAAATTTTGATCAGAAAAGCTCACTTGAGCCTTCGGCTCAGGTGAGCTAAAAAAAAACAAAAGCAAAGTTCAAGCAGTGTTGTCATACCATCCTATAATTTTCATATAAAAGTATAGGACTTTTATTGCTTTTATCTCAGAAGGATGGATAACAAATTATCTTACCTCCCTCTCATCAAACTTTTATTCATTTGTGAGATATTCTATATGTTAGACTGTACGTTATATCACACTTACCATACGGTTATCGTACATTTGATCCCACGCACAAATTTCATTCTCCAGTGTTGGTACTTCTCTTTCTTTGTCGAAATCCAACAAAGCAGAAAAAGTTTTGAAGTAATCTAACCTATCAGTATTGTCCTCTTTACATTCGATAGGCATTTGTTTTATGGCACCAAAAAGTGATTCTTGGTAGCACAAAGCACAGAATACATTTTTGAATGTGTGGTGACAATTAGTGTAAGGTACATAGTATTTATTGCACGCCTGAATCAAGTATGGTCTGTCTGCATCTACTAAACTGGAAAGGTTTTCTGGTACATCATGCACGTAAACACACGGTTTTATTGTGTCCTCTAATGAGCGGGGTGGATAAAACAAAACATTGCATCTGGGATCTTCCCTGAAAACGAATTGCTGGAGTTCTTCAGGAGTTTTTCTCAGTAAAAGATCCGACCTTTTTCTACAAAGAACTTGGTTTTGTTTCCAAAATATTAAATCTAATGTACTTTCATTGTGGCAGAGAGCACAGTGGATATTTTTGTAGGATTCGTTGGTGAGAAGGGAGGTAACTGGAGTAGAAAGAGATATATTATTTGCCTGTAATTGTGGCAAATGACAGCTCTCCCCATTGGGGCAGTTATCAATTAACCAGTATGACTTTACATTGAACCCAGGGTGTGGGTTCCAGAGAGGCTGTACACAGGATAATGATGGACGTGTCAAGTCATCAGCATCATGGCGGAGGAATTTCGAAGGACAACAGCTTGATTTTCTGACACAGGAGTCATCACAGTCGCAAGGCGTGCAGGAGGGGGTAAAATTAAAAACATGCGGTCGTTTTAAGTATTCGTCGTGACACATGTCTTGTCCTGGACAGAAGACCAAATACTGTGATATTATTTCTCTTGCCGTTCTATTATATACGCCTGACGTCACTTCGAATGCTTCATAGACGTTTTCCCTTGTCGGATAGACGTGACGGACCTTCTGTGAAATGTCAAAGCGTCCAGTACAGAGGCCCAACACGCACAATGACGTTATAAGTGATAACATCTAAAACAGAATAATTGTAAAAAATAGTTTATAAGAAGAATATTTATACTACATGTAAAATAATACTGAACTTTTTAAATGCTTTTAATTCTTTGAATTGGGAAAAATAATCGTCTGTTTGAATATTTCAGGCATTGTAATTAATTGAAATATTCAAAAATATATTCGATCTCTCTCTAAGATTTCTTAACGGTTTCAATTCTAGATTTTAAAACTGGAAGATTGTTATAAGGACACTGAGTCACTCAGGTGATCATGACTTATTGCTTTTTGGTTTTGTCCTTTGTCATGAGTCATTTGTTAACATTAAAACATTTGTTGGTTCTCCTGTAGTAAAACAAATTTTACCAAAACTTGGAAATTGGCATAAATATGTATGTG